GATCACATTCCATCAAAAAGGAAAATTAATAACCCTGTATCTGGTGTTAGTCTACATACATATAGGGGAAATCACAAGCAGGGATATGATTAATGCACTTGCATGGAATCCAAATCCCTATTTGTCATTACCAGAACACTGGTTATTACTCAACAGAGAACATCCCTACATTAAAAGGCAGGGAATTCAGCTATGCAACAAAATTGTGGTGTTCCTAATGAGAAAAGCCTCTTTGGATTTCCAAGGATTCCACTGAAACAGAGTGGCCTCTGTCCCCACAGAATGACAGAGGCTCACAACAGAATTTGAAGGAAGTGATATCAGGCTTTGCCTGACTGCAGAGAAGACACAAGCTTATTTCTAGGCCTGGTAGTTGATTGTTCTATTTGTCAATTATCTATCACTATGCACAAGAACATGCTGATCCATCTTTACCTTCCTCCACATATTTCATTGTAAATAAGGAACAGAGACATTCCTTCAGCACATTCTACTTTTCACACACTGCCACTCATGTCTGACACTATCATTACAGAGTAAGGGTTTTGTATAGAACAGAATGATAAACCGGTTTTGTAAAACCACACAAGCTGATAAATGAAAAGCAGAAAGTGCTTTGGTATAAAAATCCCATGTCCAAGTATGCACAAGGCTACAAAATTAAACAGCACTGAAGATTCTGAAAGCAGTTAAGGTATTACCATGGCCAGTTCCAATAATAAAAACAGACTATAGTTTTATGGGATATACCATAACATACAGAATAAAAGAGTCTCTCTCTTTGGTGGTGTCTGCTGGCAACTTCAATGTCAAAATCCTTATTTCTTTCACTGGTTGAGTCCAAACCCAAGCAGAATGCCTATACTACATACACTCCTTTGCTTCTGCTTGACTGCTCTTGTCTGAGCTGTACAAAACACTCAAGGACACTGACCTGCTTTTCATATCCTTGGATACAGTCAAGCAATTCCTTAACAGTATTTCTATGGCGTATGATCTAATCCTGTGTAAAGTTTTTAGGTACCTTTGAGCAAGAAATCCTGCTCAGCAGAAGTCACATAATCGTATTAGCTCTCCACAGGGTCTAAATAGCCTTGTTGAGAAGAACTTTGCTGAGCAGGGCTGCTCAAGTCAAGCCTGGTAGCTCCCTGGTGGTTAATTCAGGTGGCTGCTTTGTACTGTGCAGACACCCCTAAGATCTGGATCATGCACAGCTTTGCTTCTGCTCTTTCCCCAGGCTGACCAGTTCCACAGTCTTTTACTGCAGATCAAGAAATACAGTTCTGATGTGTGTCTGTGAATTAAAGCAACACTGACTCCTTCAATGCAGTCAGAAGAACTGCTCTGTAGCTAGATGAAGATGTTTCCACACACTAAATAAGCAGGGATTGTGTTTTTTTACTATCACAGCAGAATTTGTGGCCACTTCATGAGAACTTTAACATAATTAAATGAAGTAAGAAGCGTACTCGTAACTGTTCAAGGGGACATCTGAGATCTTCCATTGCTAATGGAAGATTTTTGCCCCTTTAATCACTGAAGCTGTCGGAGGCAGCAAAATTTTTGGTGCTACAGATTTATTATAAAAGTATTGGTGAAATATTCCAGTCTGGTTTCCTGCTCATACATGCCCTAGAATACCCCTTACCACAGAAATATGTTGCTGTGATCAAGCCTGAACTCTCTGCAAACAAGAAAGAACAACCCAAAAGAACAGTGATCAGTTATATGATCAGTTATATATAAGCTGCATATAACGATCTATACCAGGGCCAGGGAGCAGATGGACTTCAATAAAAGTTCACAGGCAGAAATGAAATGGCAGAAGGGATTTGGGGTACCTGCAGTTGGGTCCCAGAGTAACATCAGTTTCAGCAACTTCTGCCAGCTCATCTTCTCTAGCAGCAAGGATTTGTGATACCTATCAGATCTTATATGAGCACAGCTGTCAGCTCGTCATGTAACCCAGCCAAAAAGGAAAACTGCATTTGAAGAGCTCAGGAACTGCTTAGGATTGCTTTCACCATTCCTTATGGCAGTATCCTGTACTTCTAAGCCTTACAGGAAACGTGTGAATTATATCAACTACACCAGACTAGCATCCTTCAGTGTTTGTAGGACACTCTGATCCTGAATGATTCAGTTGCATTGCTGGGAATTTGACACTGCTCAATTCTAAGAAACTGCTTAGATTTAAAAGCTCTAATTCATTTGAGTTGCTGGGAATGATCAGTTTCTTCCTCCAAAAGATTTTACTAGGAGTTTATGGTGTAAAAAATATTTGAGATGTCACTAGCAAAACAGCTCCTCCAGCTGAACTGCTTGCTCAGAGCTCATTTCAGACAGGTACCCCCCAAAAAAAAATCACCAGGACATTACCTTTTCTTTGCTTCCTTCCTTGCAAATGAAGACAGCAGCATCTACTGATGCAGGGATCCCAGCAAATGAGACTCCTTATAAGGATGAGACTTACTGAAATCGGGAGTAATGAAAGCATGTAATTTTCTCTGTCCTGTTCCTATAGCTGCTGGTGGTCTGAATCTGAAAACTCTCCATTGGTCTCTAGTGTAGAAATGAACATAAACACAAGGGAGCAAGACAGGTGGGTGGCGACTGGAAAACAGCATTTCTGTAAGAAAAAACCCTAAATACAGCAGAACAAAGCTACATATTCAGAAAGTTTCAGGGACATACTTTTAGTTATTGAAACCGAATGGTGTCCCCATGGATTTTGCAAACCTTGTCATAGAAAGTCATTCTGATTGAATCACTGCACTCCAGAATGTTGGAGATAAAACACTCCCCAGAACTCAGACACAGAATCAATTTTCTGCGACTTAATTATTCACTATGCATCAAATATATACTAGACTATGCGCATTTACACTATAATTATCAAATGCATACTTTGAGCAGTAACAAATGAGAGATAAATCAGTTGGAGTAAATCTTGGTGAAAGAGTTAATGCTTTTGAGTCCATATTTAGAACAGGCTAAAAGAATGCATGTAGTTTTACTATTATTCAGCTGTCATGCCTAACTCAATGAGGCACAGTAATTCAATTGTCTATCAGATCTTTAGTGGCTCATCTAATTATGTAAACAAGTTTAAAAGCGTAATTATCACTCTTTGTATGTTGCAAGCACCCAACTTTTAAATTAACAGTCCTTTTATCTTTCTCAATAGCCAAGTGATATAAAATTACAATATTTATGGAAGAAGCTAGATCGTTTCTTAGTTTTCTTGTATTTTTCTTGTACAAATACAAATAGTTTAAATGAGAATTGTACATCTCAGTAAAGAAATCCTGTCCCTAAATACCCTTGTGGTTCTGTACTCAAATTACTTTCAGCCATACTGCTCAGCCTTCCTGAAGATGGATGGGAGCACTGTGACTGTTTGTTTCAAGGTTGCTATTAAGAGGGAACAAAATCAATCCTGTGGGTCAGCGCAGGAGCTACTGGGGGAATGCAGCACCTGGATACAGGGTGGAGTTCACAGCATTTATACTACCAGGCTAGTCATTCTCTGTGGCAGTGTATAATTTCCCAAGACAGATCTGCCATTACACATCAACCAGTGGTTGCAAACAGAAAGATTTATCAGCACATTAACAAATGCCTTTATGAAGAACAAGCAAATATTTCCCTCAGTGAAATCAAGTATCAGTGGTGTGGCTACCAAATATTCATCTGCATTCAAAAGGTGTCTATACTGAGATCAAGAGTCAGAGACTTTTTCAACAGTCATAAAGCTCCAGAGGGTCAAACTGTAGAAAGGGGACCCAAGGATTGCCTGGAGAGTATGCAGAGAAGAGCAAAAGAAGAAAATAAATATTAATGGCATTAGCACAAATCTATTTGTTTTGCAGAAGATTTTAAGATACCAGCACAACTTGTCTGATTAAAATTGATAAATAAGTGACAAGGAGATTCAGCACTGCCACTGCTGTGAATACCAAGGAAATACACTCAGTTACCTGTGATCTCCAAAAATTCTTTCAAATACTACAGAAAACTACGGTTACAGATATGCTGAAGACCGACAGAGGCATGACATTTGACATAACCCCAGCCTAACTACGTCAGGAACACACACCCCTTGTTTAGAGACATGAACACCTTTTTCTGCAAGCTTACTCTTACACACACATATAACAGGAATAAGTTAATTTTTTTTTTATCCTTCCCAAGCTTATAGTGTAACTAGAAGAGAAGTAGTATCAGGTGTTCTTAGCTGCCTATATACAATACAGTGCCAATAATGAACCCTACAGAACCTTCATAAAGGGACCATGTCCCTCCAGTTTCTCTGTGTGAAAGCTTCGAAGTAGCTGCATTGCTGGAAAACTGATTTTCTTCTAAAACTGCTGTAAAGTGCAATGGGTATTTCAAATGCAGCAGTGCACCATGGGTGCAATTTAACTTCCAAAATCCCAGCTCTCTTCATAGACATCTATAAATCTTTGCCCTTTAGACCAGAACTATCATGCATCCCAGCCTGCTAAGCCCTCCTAATTTAATGACACACATTTATTTGGAAATACTGTAGCAGAACAGCTTCAAAAGCATTACTCTAGCATTATTACACTGTGAGAAATTATGGTAGTTTGGGGTCTTCTAGCCTAATTAGATTCTATTTTGTTCAGTCATCCTCAAATGAAACTTCTGTTTTCAAAGGATTTTGTGAACAGTCTGCTAATGAAAGAGAATTTATAGTATTTATGGGGCAACAGTATAAATGGAATTTAATAGCCAACTGCCAGCAGGGAACCGTCTAATCTTTATCGAATGCTGATTAACAACCAAGGATTTCTGGTGAGATAATGAGCCCTGGACTGGCTTCTATCCAGTTTTTGACACTGGCACCGATGTACATCTCCTAATTGCTAGAGGAAAACATATAATAACTGAACTTCAACTAATTAGTGGAGATTTAACCAAGTCATTGAAGTCTGTATCTTTGAAATTCTCAAAAATACCAGAAGTCAGGTATTCACCCCAGGCACTTAACAGACACCTCAGTTATCCTATGCAAATAAATTAAGAGATGAATTTCCAGAACTGGTGACTCAATAAACTTTACACTACAATGAGAATGACTGCAAGAACTTCCATCAATCTAGACCTAGGAACTATAACTGGTCCCATACCAAACTGAAGAAGCCTTGCACCTGTAGAGGGATTTCAGTGCCCCTAACAGGATCTGCCTGTGAAATTCATTACCAGGTCCAGAAAGTTCAAGTGATCGAATGGAAATCACTAAATTCTGAGAACTTTAACATCTAGATCCATTTTTTCTATCTTCACAAAGCAGGCTCCCACACTGAAACTTCAGAGCTTAAGTTAGACACCCACTTGCACTGCCAAGCACAGAATTCTATGCATTTCTAGAACCACCACCCTAATTTTCTCAAGGTTTTGTATTTCAATGGAATTTTGTCTCCATTCACCAATCCCTAAACCATCATTTCCCTAAGAGCTATTACACATTTAAAAATTCCTTACTACTTCTGTAACTGCAAAAAAAAAAAAAAACAAAATCACTACAAATCTCAAGGTCTGTAAAAATAGGAGTGACACTGAGTACAATCTAAAAAACCATCAAACCCCAAAAGAACCCAACAAACCAAAGGCACCCCAAATATTGCTTCCCTTCTCCTGATACATGAGGAACAAGAAGATTAAACAAAGAGCCAATAATCTGTGGATGCCAGGGGATAGGTGTGAGTGGTGAAAGAAAGAATAAGACTGTTGTCAGAGTTCTGTACAACAGAAGATTGAGGGGATTTTCAAACCAGGTATTTGACTAAATGAAACATAAAGTTAAAGAAGGAAACAGTGTATGCTCCATCCAGCTTAGAAAATGCACTTCCAAGATACATGTTGTTTGGCTTCCAAAACATGCTGTTTGGCCTGGAAAGGAGAAGCTGCAGAGATGATCAACTGACATAACATTTCGAACCTACTGTATTAATGTCATAAATACACACACCTTTAATGGGTGGCTGATTGCAATTACATCTCAATGTAATGGTGACAGAAAGGGTTACTTTCTACCATAAGGTGACAACAGGTGACAGAAAGAGTTACTTCAGATTCAACAACAGAAATACCCAAAGCTGAAATGATGCATTTGAGAAATCTCTTGCTACTACTTGCTTCTAGACAAGTAATTCAGGTTGCTCTTACCCAAGTCAGAATTGCAAAATCCTGAGACTTTACAAAATGACAGTGCTGAGCAGGAAGACAGAAACACGTAAGGCACAAGAGAGCAGTGACATTATCATGAGATTACCAATGGCATGAACTGACGAGACCTGAATTACTCTGTAGAAATTGCCCATATGGAAGTGTTCAGTATATTAGTTGCAAAGTACTTTGAAGAATAAACTGCACTGAATTCACTATGGAATAGTGATAGACAAGGACACACATATGGAAAATTACTGGAGATTTGCTGATGCCCTGCAGGTTTTTCTTATTTGTCTTCCTTTTTGCTTATGTACCACTAAACCAGAAACACAGAACTGAGAAACCAACTGAGTAACATTATGCAGAAGATGGGTAAATAAATTCATGGTTATCAGCAAAATCAAATCAACATCAGTTTTCTGGAAAGTTTTCTCTAAAATCCGTTTGGAGACTCAAAAGCTCTGCAAAATGGGTAGCGACAGAGTGATCTAAGGGCATCTCGTATAAAGAATCTGTCAAGCTTTGTCTCCTTGAAGTACTTAATCCAAGAATAAATAACAAAACCAGATAAACAGATACTAGAATTAGCATTCACTTGTATTAAAAAAAAGACATTTTATTGCAGCAATGACCTGCCTAGCTGAGAAAATGAACTTTGCTTATTATTTTGTTTTAAAAGTACAGTAGGTACCATCACTGCATGTAAGGACCGTGGGTATGAAAACCTTCAAGAAAGGAAGGTCTTTATCCTTTTTATTTTCAGTAGCCCTCTCTCTCATAAAGAAATAAACCAAAACCACTACAACAAACAGGTTTATACAAACATAGCCACTGTGTTGTTTTGCACCAAGCAGAGGAGTCAGTGTACTGACCACTGAGCAGTTCCTCTGCAGGGCACTGCTTTGGGACCCTTGAAGGTGGATAGAATGAGTCAACTATTATGGCCAGAGATAATTATTTCCTTGGATTACATTGGCCCTGCTCTCTTATATGCAGATCCCCTGAAACATTTCTCATGGTTGGAGGGTTTGGACACAATCCACACTAGTTCTTTCCTCTTTATAACTGAGAATTAAACTTCAAGTGGTCATGAATATTCATCCATAATGCAGGACAACTTCTGAAAACTCTTTTAATTTATCAAGCACTACAGGGATATAACTGGAGACAGGAGGTGGCAAAAAGCTCAAGGCAATGGGATTTTTGAGCTTTAACGACAAGTGAGAAACACCCCTGGTGTAGAAGAATATGCACATAAGACACTGCTTTATGGACTTCTGTCTTTCTACAAAAGCAGAAAGCCAGAATGTGTCCTGAGTGTGTAAAGAACTTGGATGCCCCCACTACTGAACACCAGTCCTATTTATACTCTGTTGGATATTTGCTTAACAAGTCAAAGCTGGCAGGTTGAAAAGCTACTTTAACGTAGCTAGTGCATGTTCAGAGAATAATGTCAGGGATGTAAAGTAAGACTATCACAGTATTAGAGGATTTCCAGATTAAAATTAATTCTATTCTGTGTAACACGTTTAAAGGTTAGATTATGTATCTCTAGTGGACCTAAGGGCACAGGAAAAAATACAAACTCTTGACGCATCTAAGAAGGCTTTTCTAATTTAGGTGCAGGATTTCAGTCAGAAATAAGAATTCACACCACTTCAGTATGTCCCATTCCATCTGTATCTATGGTTTTTAAAATTGAATATTTCTGTACAGTTTTGATTTAGATTCATTTTCCCAGAGAAGTTTTGCAAACCACTTCCTCTTATGCTTAGTGCTGAGAGCTAAGGGCCAATAGGATCTGGGTATTGCTGGAGATGCTATTTTTGGTTAGATACACCTCCAGTTTCAGCCAGCCTGGAAATTCTCATGTTCCGTGTTCCTATTGCTTTAAGAGATTAGGGGGACTTCAGCAGTTCAAAGAGAAAACGCCAAAGGGAAACTTGGGACACACAAAATGTTAGGGAGATGACTGGGACAGGCAGAGTTACACAGCTGTGGGCTTTGTAGAGTCATCATTTTACATTCATATTCTAGTATTTTTTAAAATACATCTTTGCTGTTCATTGCCCAAGGAAGGCACAATCTTAAATGACAATTCTGGCCCATCTTGTCTTTAAAGAATTGGATTGTTGCTTCTGATTTAGTTTCACACATATCAAGATACTCAACCGTTTTCTCTTAAGTCTTTCAGCAATCTCCAGTCAGGGAAAACCATTAAAAATCTCATCAACATTCTTTTAATGTATTTTCCTATTTTTACTGAATCTTTCTCATCAAAAGGGACACTGTCAGAACCATGGATGCCTGCTGCGTTTCTTATTCCTGCTAGAATCACTTGTGTAACAGTATGTTACCTCATGACTATAGAATCACTGGTACTTCCCTGCTCTTGTGACATATTATTACAAGTAGATCAACAAGCAGTATCAACAACATCCTCTTTACTTGGCACACTGAAAAACACTGAATGGAAATGGAACAAAATGAACATGGACTACTAGAGGCTTGGCTCATACCTCTGAGTTCTCATCATCCTTTAGTGCCCATCTAGACTTACCTCCTGCCCTGTGCTCTACCTGCCATGAATAGCTGGATAAACATCTTTTCAAGGCAGAAGAAAAATTGGCTGTGTGTGACACAGCTTTTAGGCTACACTTACTAATTTCCAGGTCTTACTATCATATTGCTTTAAAGTCATAATATATTTCAAGAAGTGCAAGATAAGGTGAAAAAGATTTACCAGAATACTCCAAAGTAATGCTTTTGAATGTTTCATGAGTACTTCCTGAATGTTTCACTTTTGTTACTGGGTCTTTTCCACGCTAACTGGAAATCTGAATGTTCTGAACTTATGTATTTTGGAAGGAGAACATGGTGGCGTGGAGAGAGGATGAAGACGTGTTCTTATTCTACAGAAAGACCAGATTTGTGCTTTGCTCACATCTGTGTATGCCTGCCACAACGTATCCCAAATAAACCCAGACATTATTATAGCTGATACAATTGAAAAGCTGACATTCAGAGACCAGTTCCACATTTCTGGCTTCTCATTCTTCCAAACTTTCTCTGCCTTTAAAAATGATTTTGATATTTTTGAAAGCAGAGGGTTACATTACTGTAATTGGACACAGAAATAGACTATTGATTTGCACAGACTAATTGGACACTGCCCATCCATTTACATGAGTAAGTGTCTAACAGGCACATAAAATTACAGCAACTGTGCCTGAATATTTGGCACTTAATTCAGTTCAGGCAGGCTTCTGCAGTGATGGAAACCAAGACTTTGCATTGTAAATTTCAGTTTCTACAAAATCTTTTTTGCCTTGCTTTAATACCATTGACAAACCATCTCTGCTTTGTTTATAATGTTCACTGAGTAATACAAAGGCCTGATACATATTATACTTCAGATAGGTAAGTTACATGATAAATAGAGTTCATTTTTCTTACGTTGTTAATTTAAAGACTAGTAATATATTGCTGCTTCAAATAAGCTGCTGTGTACTCGGAGTCTTTGACCATATATCCTTTGTGCAGAAGTTATTTATTATTTCTACTACACCACTGCTATACACAGCTTCTTACAATTACCCATTATATGACAGCAGAAAGATTTCAGTCAATCATGAGCAAGAAGAAAAATGTTATTTTCCCACCTCTGCTGATAGCTTTATTAGCATCGGGCTGGATTCATTCCCAGGTAACATTGATTTCAATGGCACTCCAACAGCAATGAATTATGTGCTCACATCCCATTTATTTATCTGCCCTTTCACAGTTAGCCACCACAGCTTACCTCTTCCATGACCTGAAGATGGACAGCCCAATTTTTAGGGTGCCTTATTTAAGGAATGGGAGACCTCAGTTCATTTCACTTGGTACTGAATTACCTCAGTCAACCCTTTCAGACTTCAGCCTCAAAGTCAACAGGCTA